GCCATTCTGTTGCCTTTCAAGTTTAATATAGGACCTAACTTTTCCTCAACGGTGTGCATACATTCCACGCTATGGTAGGATGTGTAAATACTAAAATCCTTGACCCTGAAATAAATTGAGTGAGTCCTAATGGGAATATATTTATGTTTACCAAAGAAAAACATACTGTTTTTGCTCTGTCTCCCCTTCTTCTTCTTCTCCAAACCAGTAAGGCCAATGACCTGAACCAGACGTCTATCACCATGGTAACTAGAGTTAGGTTACATCATGTTGCAATTTTTGCTTTTAGCATTCCATATAGGACCTAAGTCTTCCTCAACTGTGTATATTTACGCGTACATTCCACGCTGTGGTAGGATGTGTAAATACTAAAATCCTTGACCCTTAGATATAAATTGAGTGAGTCCTAATGAGAATATATTTATACCTGTTTCCATGCCATACAGTGCATGTATTCCTGTCTTTTGTTCTTCCCCTTCATGCGTGTTTACCTTCCTTATTCACAAAGTCATGTTTAACCACTTCAACTAAAAAGCTTACAGCGTACGGACTGTACATAATACATGGCAACCAGAAGTACGTCTCCCTGGCAAAGTTAATATGTAAATACGATAATGGTTATGGAGTATGTGTATTGAGTTAAAAATAGGACATTCGTCGTGGTATATTTTTGTATTGTCGTTTTTATAATCAGCCGAAAGTATGACAATGCTTCTTTTTCCTTGTAAGTGACATCGTATATAAATAGATCTTGCTATATATTAGGTCTTATTCTATACTTCTTTTTTGTACTTTGTTCCTTTGTTGTTACCATACTTTGTACCACGTGCAAATTGTCGTGCAATAAAATTCTGTACCAATACGAAAACCCTATTAACCCCCTTAGCAATCGGACAGAAGTACATGTAGTTGAGATATGCTAAGTACTCTCTACGTATACATCTTTTTACATGTTTTGGGGCGTTTCAATAGGTCTTGTACTAGTACTGGTATGATATTTTTAACGCGAGCAGATTTTCAGGTGGCAATTGGTAACTGCCTGGCAAAATGAATACAGCCTGGCCAATTTTGATACTGTCTTTGCAGCCACCGAAAGATCTACTTGGAGATTGTTTTGTGTGCTTAGTGTTGGAGATATTTTATTGACAGACTACATGTCTCTCCCTCCAGCCTATGCCCAGACGCTGATCGCGGTTGGCGCGGCGGTGTTGTGCTTCCTGTTGCTGCTCGGCTGCACCATCTGCTGGCGGCTGCGAGCCTGGAACCGGCGGGCCAAGGCGCGACAACCCTCCGAGCGCCTGTCCGTGTCCCTCCAGGGCACCCCCTTCGGTCCCACGTCCTCGTCCAGCATCAAGTACACCCTGGACCCGCCGGACGTGCCCGCCGGGTTTGTCTCCTCCGTCTCCTCGGTGACGTCCACCCCGTTCCTCCCGCCCTCCACGCCCGACCCTGCCGAGGCGCGGGTGAAGCGGTTCTCCTGCCCGGACCCTCCCTCCGCCGAGCTGCTCGGGAAGAGAGACAATCTCCGGCGGAGCAGGACGCTCGAGTCCGTGGAGGACGGTCTGATTGAGGAGTCGTCCTCGGCGGTTGACGCCGACCCGCCCCGAGGCCCGCTCCCCCCGGTCTCCGGCAGCAAGACCACGCTGCACTTCAGCCTGTTCCACTCGGCGTTCGATCACACCCTGACCGTGACCATCCTCGGAGTCAGTAACCTGCCGCGGACCTTCAGCATGGAGAGCGCAGCCTTCGTCAAGATGTGGCTGCTGCCCTCCCACCAGGAGCCCGTCCAGACTACCATCCGCAGGAAGTCCTTCAACCCGCAGTTCAACGAAAGTTTCAAGTTCAAGTCCATGGAGAGGGAGGACATCAGTGGCTGCCACCTCAGGTAACTGTTCAAGAATTATCATGAAAGTTCATCTGTGTTGGTATACGTAATTACATGTTTGAAGTTCAAAGTTTAGTTCCAACACAAGGGATTGCTCTCATTTTGAGCTTTCGACCAGTCATTCTGGTCTTCTTCAATATACTTGTCACGTGGCTTCTCTGAAGTGTGACGTCAACACTGGGTCAAAGGTATCTGGACATTCTGTTTCACGTGACACTGTAAGAATACTGGGCACCGAACTACTTCACGAGAGGAATGATAGAGGCTATATTTACATCAGGGCCCATCACCCTTCACTCAACCGCGAGGGAGGCCGACATCGTTTACCAGATACCTTTGTCCCAGTGTTGACGTCACACTTCACAATAGTCTTAGTGAGGAATTTTGTGTTAGAATAAGTATATCACTAGTGCGAAACGTTCCTGAAGTTGACAAACACTTCATATCATTTAAAGGTATCTAGTGCAGTTTTTAGGGCTTGGAAACCTGATTTTTTTAGTCATTTATCTACATACTAAGTTGAAACCACACTACCCAATTGACCCTCATGGAGCAAAAATTCCCAAAATTCTGACGGAAAATGGTTATTGGAAGGGCCCTGGGCTTATTTTTAAGGTACCACCCAGAAAAAGGACTCATCTGCAGTTTTAAAAGCCAAAGTATGAAATGCTGACTCAAATGTGCTAATGTGAAGCAGTATGTGTCAATATCACGAAGATTGCCTTATTCAGAATTATACCAGTTTTGCTGCCCTAAAATCGCATTCGATGCCTTTAAGTTTGGTGTGATCTGCCCGTTTGTAGATTTGCTGTGTACGTGAAGCAGCTGTGGGATAAGAAGGACGGGTTCGTGGGTGAGGTTCTGTTCCCGGGTGCGGAGTGGGAGCGCAGGGACGTGCCCACCACCTTCAGTAGGGAACTCAAGTCGTCCAAGACCAAGGGAGAGAAACTCAGGAAGGTCAGTCTACTCCGTAAGCCTGTTTGGGGAAAAACAACTTGCATGAATGTTCGTCCGTTTCCAAAAAAAAAAAGGTTCGACCATACTGTAAATCGTACAAAGCAACTACAAAATTACCAAATATATATATGCCGAAGATTGCAAAAAAAAAAATATTGGAGAACGATACTTATATCTTAGAACGCCAAAATCAATTCCAAAGGAAAATAAGAAAATGTGAAGAAATCAAAATTTCTATCATTTGTACCATATTCTCTGTGTGTTTAGTCATTTATTCAACCTTGATGGCCACCTAGATTTCATAATGAAGGCAACATTTTTTTCCATGCACACTTTGTTTTATTCGCACGCTCGCATCCGTTTTGAGGTTTCCAGAGGATGTCATCCATGTAATCAAATCAACATGGCCTTATAAACCACATTAAGTGTCTTCAAGTGCCTTCTTACTTTCTTGTAGATCTCCTCTTCGCTTGACCTGGAGGATCTTGACGAGAAGGCGAAGTCGTGCGAGTTGTTCGTGCTGCTGCAGTATCAGGCCATGTCCAACAGGATGAAGGTCCTCATCAGAAAAGCGGAGAACCTCACCAAGAAGAAGATGTCCCTTCCCGTACCTGGGACAGCAGGTAACGGATCTGTTCTGAAACAAGACTGGTAATGAAAACATACATTGCCATGGCGACGGTGGTTGCTGTTAGAGTTATTGTTTGCATGGCACTGCCATCATTTCATGATTTTGAGGAAGCCTTGGTACCTGTAAGTCTAGACAGATACAGTGCACTCCTTCCCTGAGTGTATAGTGAACGAGCCCCGGAATCACAGAAAGTAGGGCCATCGGGGCAGAGAGGTCTTCCCAAGGGTTTCCAGGAATGTGGGCATAGATGTGGGTCAGAGACATGCCTGTGCACGTTCCATTCCTGTGGACAAAATGCCTGTACCATTCCTAGAATTCTTGCAAACTGCACACAATACTTTACCATTAGGCTCTTCCCCGAGACGTCGCCAAAAAAACGTCGAATTGATACAGTAGCTTTGAATCTCTTTCTGGTAAATTAACGGGATAGCAGGGGTGCTAACCAATGGTTGATATTTTGTTCGTCATACAGATCACTACATCATAGTCCGTCTGCTCCACCGTGGGAACGTGAAGGAGACGAAGGAGACCAAGTCAGCCAGCGGCGTCAGCCCGGTCTGGAACCAGCCCTTCCTGTTCGACATTCCCTCAGATCAGGTCAGAAACAACTTAGCTGCCTTACTAAGCTGAGAGTCACAAATACACTTTTAACTGCGCATGCCAATGTCGTACTTTGGAGCATGGTTAGTATAAAGACATATGTCTTTGAGACTTGTTTTTTTGTCTCAACAAAGGATACGATCTTCTAATAGTGCACAGCAGGGCAGACGTTTATTCTTGCTTCCTCTATGCTTTCCTTGGTGCTGAAACGCCTTCTGATGTTTTCGTTTACGTTATGCTGGTAAATTCTATCTTTAGTACTCTTTCACACACTCAGAACCGTCCCCCAAACAGCAGCCGACCAAGGTTGTAGAATGTTTAACGCGTTCTTTTGCCGGTCATCCTACAACCAGCCGCCCAGAGAAGGTTTGTACCCGCCTAACTTACACGGACCTCTTCCCGTTCCGTCTCCCCGCCCTCAGGTCGAGGACTACTCCCTGGAGTTCGTGGTGATGCGGGGCAGGATCTACACCCGAGACGGCGTCATCGGCAGCGTGCTGATCGGCCCCGCGGCCCCTCCGTCCGGCGTGGCGCACTGGAACGAGACGCTGCAGCCCCGCGCCCGGGAGAGCGCCCGCTGGCACACCATCCAGCCCGCCTCGGGCAAGTTCAGCCCCAAGAGGAAACTCTCGAAAGAATCCTACACGAAAGCAGAGTTTAACTTCAGCGGCTCAAACTAGGTCAGGTATATAACGTTCATATATATATACGAGAACATGTCTCCGGAAGGCATGTGGAATTCTTTCAGATACCGTGGCCAACAAGTACAACGTATTTAATGAAAATTAAACAGTTCTCCAACTCAAGACACGAAAAATAACTAACCAGAAATTTTCAACCGAATCACTTAGTCTTCATCAGCTTTATGATCTGAGTGCGGTGGACACGTGACTTTTACCCACGCGTGACGTCAGACGTCAGCACTGGGTCAAAGTTCGTCGGAAGTCGGTACCGCCCCCCGTCCCGGTTGAGTGAAGGTTGGCATCGTGCCTTTAGTTGGAGAACAGTTTAATTTTCATTATGCATTTTACCAACTCAGATAAACTTTCATGCTAGATGCAACGTAATTGTAACACTGTTGGCGTATAATATCTTGGGATTCTTACTATTTATATGGGGGAAGTAACACCTACTGGCTTGTACACAAATGTTCATTACTTCTGAACCTAACATACATAGTATGAATCCCAAGATGGTTTACTTCTGAATCAATACTGTGACAATATGTACCTGTCAGCCACGGTACTCAGAAGACATATAAAGTACTACATGTATCAACTTTTATAGGCAATTGCCAGAAACAAGTGTGGCATATTTTGAGTCTGTGAGCCTGCCTGTGAAATTGTGAGTTGTCAAATTGTTGCTGCCGATATTCCACGCACAGTTAAAAAACAATTAAGAAAGGATTTTGTGAATAAAACTAAGTAAGCAACTTATCTTTGTACTCTTGGGTGCTAGCTACAAGTACAAAGGAAAAAAAAACAACATCAGAGATCAATAAAAGTATATCTAATTGATCAAGAACTATTAGAGTAGAGACTGTAACTTAGCCACTCTATATCTAGTTTCACTTGCTACAAGTTAATCTGTAATTATGTTTACCTTCACAGAAGGAAAACATGTTGTTTTTGCTCTGCTTCTTCTTCCTCGTCTTCTCCAAACAAATAAGGTCAATGACCTGAACCAGATGTCTGTTACCATGGTAACTAGTGTTGGGTTAGATCATGTTGCAGTTTTATAGCAGGAGGGATTTAGACTCCGTTTAGTCACCATATATTATGAATGTGTTTGAGTAAGAATTAACAAAGCAGACCATATGCGAAGGTAAACATTATGCATTTGCTTTGCAAATGTTATCTTTCTAGTTTCCATTCTGTCCTACCGACCACCAAAGGGGACCATATTTGGAATGTTACATATCCATATCACAATGAAAACAATGCTGATGTACAGGTTGTCTTGATATAAAGCCCAAATCAAAGGAAACAAGCCTACATGTAATGATGTATGCCCCTTGAACCTGTCTAGAAGCGAACCTACCAGAAAGCAGAAAAACTAGAAGATGAAGGAATAGATTTTCTGCAAAACTACGTATTTTTGCTTGATAATATTCATTTCATTTAATTCGAAACCTTTTAGCCCTGCTGGGCTAATCTTCCAAGGCTCAAATACATTTAAAAGTACATAATACATAGCACAAAAAGTACAGTAAAATTACATTCATTTGGAGACTTCCAACTCTGACACAAAATCACTGTCTAATTGATGTCCTGGAATAAAAAATTCCTGGTACATTATCCATAAATAGCATCTTTTGCATCGATTGAATGTCATTGACTTAATAGACGGAAAACGGTGTTTTCTCTAACCACTAAGTTCCTACTGGAAGCTACTCATTAATATTAAGAAAAACCAGATATGAATAGACAGCAATGTGATGATCAAAAGATAATCTATTAAGGTTTGTGCAATCTCTCTTAACCGTGCTCAGTCAATGGATACTTAGCATCATAGATATGATGCTATTTTGATAGAGCATACTTGGAGATGATGGGTCTTCTGTTTTTGAGTTTCTAGAATTTTGTTCTAGAATTTTGCATGTAAGCGTACTTGTTGTATTTGTGTGTAAGACTCATTGCGATGTATGTGCATCAGTGCAATGTATTTGACTGTGGAAAACTCTAGTAAAATGTTGAACTTTCTTCCAACACACAATTTACAGGGAGATCAAGTTTTCAGCGACCACTGTCGCTTTATCCGGATAATTAATGACCAATCAATTCACAACGTGATCTCGCGAGAGAATTGGAGTTATTAGTCATTAATTATCCTGATGAAGGCGACAGTGGTCACTGAAAATTTGATCTCTCTGTAAATTTTGTGTTGGAAGAAAGTTCAACGTTTTACTATGATTACTACCAACACCGATGAACTTTCATGATAGTGTGGAAAATGCTGTTAAAGATAAAATCATACGTTTTTGTCAAAATGTTTTTGATGTAATAAAAGATGTTAGAAGATTTTTAAAATCTTTAAACGTCTTCATGTACATGTGTAGATGTTCCTGATACTCAGAAATATCTGCTCTGGAAAAAAGATATTAAACATTTTCCTTCGATAGCAGGAAACAGCATTTGATACAATGTGCATAGAATATAGAAACCCGGACAAATCCTACTTTTATACGGACTACATGTATCTATATATTCCTGAAGATTTCTATGACATATTTGTGGATAAGTCTGTGTTATGATATAGGAGCCTGTGGGTAAATGATACATTTGTATATGTCAGAACCCTCACCATATAAATAACCATACGTGTCTGCCGAAAATGTCAAAGCACTACTTCATGTATTAGAGTCATATAAATATACACATTAACGTTATATGTGTTCATTGCCAGCGAGTGAATTCACGTTAGGCTTTAAGCTAGTTTGATGTCTGTCTTGGTGTGAAATTCGACATTATTAAAACTGCAGAAGGCTGCTTTAGAACCCTGCAATCGCATCCTAAGGCCATGTTGATTTGACTATGTGGATGACATTTGCGGGCATGAATTTTCATCTATTTCCAAAAAAAAAGTTTTAGACCATACTGTAACTTGTACAAAGTTACAGCTGCAAAATCAGCAAATAAATGCTGTACATTGAAAAAAAATATAGGAAAGCGATACTATATGTCGCAGAATACCAAAATCCATTCCAAAGGACAAGATGAATATTATAATATTGTTGAAAATGAAAAGTCTATTATTCACCATGCCAATAAAATACATTGTAGTGCTCCGTGTGTTTAGTCATTTGTTCAACCTTCATGACCACCTAGATTTCATAATGAAGGCAACTTTTTTTTTGCCAAACATTTATTAATTCGCACGCTCGTATCAGTTTTGGGGTTCCCAGAGGATGTCATCCACATAATCAAATCAACATGTCCTAATATAGAAGGAATTGTCATGTGGTCGTTCGCAATGCTTTTCATGCACAGAGAACAAGCAATGCCCTGAGGAAGCAAAGTGTTGGATGTTCTTCATATGTTGCCGATTCCCTACTTCAGAATTGAACTGGAAATAAAACATTGTTGAAACATGCACAGTCAGTTTTTTCTTTAATTTGATGATGATGAAATTTTATTAGCAAACAAGTAAAATCTGAAATTTTATACCTCCAGGCTTTTTATTGTATATTCTTATGTTGTTATGTATAGTTAATGGTGTTAAATTTTATGTGTTAGAATTAGCGTTCCAGGTTGTGTTAACACAGGTCAACATTTTCATCTGCAGCTTATAACATGTACCCAGGAACTTATGAAATTCTATTTCATCTGCCGCAAGGAACTCGTAATGAAACTGAGAATGACAACCGGAACAGTTAAATCATACATTAAAGATAACCGGTAATAATGACAATTATGACATACATTCCTGAGGAAGCAAAACGCGGGCACATGGTGGGCATCCACAAATATTTCGATCGAAAACATAGTGACTGGGGTCCGAAATGTTACATACAGAAGCTTGATGCTCATAGCAGTTGCTGAATATTGCTAAATATTGCTGAATATTTATCATTATATGTGATATAATCTAATCGTCCTTCTTCGACACATATAAGGCCGTGTTTAAGTGAAGTCACCAAAACCGCGATTCGGGTAACTCACATTCCTCACATCTGGCCCACGTGCCACACACTCCTGTGAAACCGTGTCCGATCACAATTCGCTTGAGCTACATTTATTGCTATTTGATGATAACACGCAAGGTGGCGTGTTATTAATGTCAGAGGTCAACGACCTGCTTGCTGATGCCCCCCTCCCAGCGTATCTCGGCCGAATGCTGACGTGGTCCCGCCAGAGGCGATGAAGCTCGCCCTAGAACGGACACATTATTTGACCATTACTGCTCTTTAAGTTGCTGCCACGTAAAAGTTGGTATTGCATATAAATAAAGAAATATCACCCCGTAATCCATGACCAGGCGAAGTTACATTGAAATCACATTGCGTTCAGACGCAAATCGCGATGGGGGAAAACCGATTCGAAACCACCACTAGAAGTGGCTTTGGATCGAGGCGCTTTCAATGTGATTTCGGAGCGTTCAGATGGAGCCACTTGAAACCGGCTTAGGGGTAAACCACATGTAAAGCGCCTTGGGTGACTTCACTTAAACACGGCCTAAGTGCCTGGCACCGAAACGGGCAATCATTGGTCGTCATAATTAGATTACCAACTTAAGATTAATTATAGGGCTGTTTTGCACACCTGTGTAAAGTTTGGTATGGTCAGTTCAAAATGGCGCTTTCGTACGACGGAATTACTCTGGGCTGATTTTTTCAAACTTGCTGGGTACTTTTTAGACTTTTTCGTCGGTAGATTGTCTTAGTAAGTGTGCAGTAGAATGTCTGGGAATGTTCGCCGAGGATTTGTACCGTTCTGTTGATGTTTTGAAGAGCAAGTGCAGATTTCCTAACCTGGCGAATTTTGGAGAAGACAAAAATGGCGAGACAGTTGGGAAGAGTAGCGTGGTATAGAGACGACTTCGCTCATTGTTGCAGGTAAACCAGTACATTGTTCGGCTGACATTATTCCTTAGCAACTAGTACGAACATGTCAAGTTATTTTCCGTAAGAAATGACTTATTTATGTACTAGGGAGCGGCCGTTCCTAATTTTAGACAGGCTTAGAAAAAGTCTATCATTTGTAATGTGTGGTGCGCTTGGAGAGTATATATAAAATGTATGTGCATGCCTTTTTAGTCAGTTGTTAAGCGTTTTGATGTTATATTTGTTGAAAGAAATTGTGTATCGACAAAACCTTTTTCTTTATCTCCACGTGGTTCAAAACACCTGTTGGAATGTGGCCGTGTACTTAATTATTTTTCCAGTCAAAAAATTGCGTAAACAAGATGGGGGCCTCAAAGCTTCAGGGCGCCGAAATGAATACGATACAAAATGGTTGAAAACTAGTTATGTCGAGGTGACCACACTTTCGTTCTTCATTATCATTTGCAATGTATTATGTACAATATTTTAAAAGCTTGTTCGTTTCCATTTTAGACCAATTCAGTAAATAGTAATGACCAAGTCCACGTATTTCTGGCGCAAACAATACAGTTGACTATGCTTGAAGGTAGCAATTCATGTTTTCAAAACATTTTGCGCCGAGTGTTTTCGTATTCCACATAAAGCATATTCCACTAACTTACAGTGGGTGTCACTGGAAGACAGAAGAAAAATATCCAGACTATGCATGATGTACAAAATGACTAATAAACTGATGGACGTCCTAATTACTAAGTACCCAATACCAGCCCAGAAGAGAACAAGACATAGCCATGCCTTCAAGTACCAGAGTTATCAACCAAGGATCAAGGTGTTCAAGAATTCATTCTTTCCTAGAACTATCGCAGAGTGGAACTCGCTGTCACTAAGTATACAGTAGGGGCATTGTCATTAGATAGCTTTAAACTGGGTACTTTTAGACGTTTTCGTCGGTAGATTGTCTTAGTAAGTGTGCAGTAGAATGTCTGGGAATGTTCGCCGAGGATTTGTACCGTTCTGTTGATGTTTTGAAGAGAAAGTGCGGATTTCCTGACCTAGAGAATTTTGGAGAAGACAAAAATGGCGAGACAGTTGGGAAGAGTAGCGTGGTATAGAGACGACTTCGCTCATTGT